CAAAAGGTTGGGTCCTGGGCTGGTTAGTTTCAAATCAATCACCACAAAGAGAAAGCGCTAATCGAAAAGTGTCAAAGTCAGCGTCAGCTTAGACTCTTTTTTTTCAGAAGCAAGACCTCCATATAAAAAAGGTCAAAGCCAGCTTTGACCCTTTTCTTTTTTTGAAGACACCGAACCAAACGCTCCAAATGAAAAAGGTCAGAGCCAGCTTAGCGGAAAAGAAAGCTATGACCCGTATGGACGCCCCACATTTGGGGTGCCTTTGTGAAACGCCGCACTCAAACGCAAACCCAAAACTTTACGCCCTGATGTGGAAGGTTTTTCTATTAACGAAAAAACAGACATGCAGGCAATGAGGGGGTGAACAACCATGCCAAAATTACCAAGAGCTCCCTTACTACGATTCACAGCAGCATTCTTGATGGTAGTGGTACTAGTGATTTTCGCGGTACTCACGATACCAACAAATGCAGACTGATGCATCGAGCACTTTATGGCATTAAGATTGTAGCATATCATGAAAGCAACATTTTGCAACTCTAGCATTGTAAGCCCCTCTTGCCTTCTTGTATAGTACATACCGTAACTAAACCCTAAACCCCGAACCCCTAAACCCCAAACCCTTACACACCACAATGGTAGAAATCAGCCGGGGTGGGAAAGCTGTCAAGTCATTACACACTTGCAGCCTAGAGTCCTTTGCAAGTACGATTTTAGGGTTAAGGGTTTAGTCTTGCGCAAAATATCTACATATCACCCCTATTCTATTATCATATCCCCTACATAATTCCTCTTTGCAACTTAGGCATTATTCAACCTTCCTAATCCTGAACCCGCTCATGTTTCCTAATTCTTTGTGATATACCTACATGGGACAGCCTCCCTAGACCCTACACGCAGCCCAGGTGGTAGCAGAAGAGCTGGGCGTACCTAAACACTCAACCCTAACGCTTAAACCCTAATCAACCTCAAACCCTAAACCTTAAAACTTAAACACAAACCCTAAAACTTAAACCCTAAACCCGACTGGGAACGCCCTAGCCAAGCAACACGGTTTAGGGTCTAGGGCTTAAGACGCCTAACCTGAAATCACCCAAACCTAATTCCTAAACTGACCTTTTTCGTTTTCAGAAAAATACACAAGAAAAAAACACTCCAAACGAAAAAGGTCAAAGCTGGCTTTGACCTTTTTCATTTGGCGTGTTTGGTTCGCTGATTTTTCCGAAAAAGTCAAAGCTGGCTTTGACATTTTTTGCGTGGAGCGCTTGTTTTTTCGGATGTATTTTTTTGAAGCAAAAAGGTCAAAGCTGGCTTTGACCTTTTTCATTTGGAGCCCGCTTTTCCGATGTATTTTTCTGAAAGCCAACGCATTTTTCTGAAAACGAAAAAGGTCAAAGCTGGTTTTGACCTTTTTCAATTGGAGCGCGTTGTCCCCATGTATTTTTTTGAAAACGAAAAAGGGTCAAATTAAGTTGGCTTTGACCTTTTTCGTTTGGAGCGTGTTTTTTTCCGATGATGTTTTGAGCGTGTTCTATGGTATTCATTTAAGAGCGAAAAAAAGTCAAAGCTGGCTTTCACCTTTTTCATGTGGCGCTTTTTTTGGCGGCTGTTTTTCTGGCTGAAAACAAAGTCAGGGCTGGCTTTGACCTTTTTCATTTGGAAATTTCTGTTGGCGGTGATTTTTCTGATAGCGAAAAAGGTCAAAGCTGGCGTTGACCTTTTTCGTTGTGAGCGGTTTTTCCGCTTGTTTTGAAAAGCGAAAAGATCAAAGCTGGCTTTGACCTTTTTCATTTGGAACTCATGTTTCTTCTGTTTTTGGTGTCTTTGTTTGAAACCGAAAAAGGTCAAAGCTGGCTTTGACCTTTTTCATTCAAGGGGTTGTACAATAACCCCGCGCCAGGAGATTATGTCCTGGCGCTCTGCAAGGTGCAAAACGTAGGGTTTTAGTGGGAAAAGCGATAAAAGGAAAAAACAACGATAACCGAAACGATGGCGCCCAAAATTTGGAAAGGCTATAAGAAGAAAATAAAACAATAACAACTTTTCGGGTCAAGCAGAAAGGAACGGTGGTTTTATACAACCCCAACCTTTTTTTTTGTGGTGATGTTTCTTGAGAACGACAGAAAAGGTCAAAGCTGGCTGTGACCTTTTTCATTTGGAGGTCTTGCTTCTGAAAACAAACAAGTCTAAGCTGATGCTGACTTTTACACTTTTCGATTGGTGCTTTCTCTTTGTGGTGGTTGATTTGAAAACTAACCAGCCCAGGACCCAACCTTTTGTTTATTAAGCGGAACTTGTTCCAGCGGTGAAAACTGTATTAGTTGCCTAACTACACGCATTGGCTTACTTGGCTAGCTTAACTCAAGAACTGGAACTAGGTTGCACTATGGCTGCAGGCTAAGGCTATAGGCCCGGAGCCTCGGAGCCAGCAAACGGTGCCCGGCGCTGGCGGGTCATGGACATGGAATGCTCCAAGTAATGCTTCTTTCCAGATTTGTTGAAAATGCTGTTAGCCCTGCATGCTGCCTCATGTCTAAAGGTTGTGACCTGCCGACATTGTGTGTTTCTTGTTGCAATGCTTCGAATCGCACAATGCTTATATTGAGGAGCTTATGGGCGGCAATCTGCAGCTACTGACACTCAGCTATCCCTGCAAGTCATCCATGTAGATGCGTTGAAGTCCTCTTGCGCTGCTGGCCGCTGGCCAGCAAGACAACATTCCATATAACCTGCAGACATGGCCTACTATTTCTTTATTGCTCCATCCTCTCTCCTTGCTGCGCCTGTTGGTGATGGCCTGCTTTCGTGTGCTTCTTTCCTTTCATCCCAAAGCATGAACCAACGCACCCACCCAACCAAAATTTTGACACTGAATAAGCATCTACAACGTGAATTTGCCATTTTGTCGCTGGGGCCACATGGGGCCACAAAGCATGGCATGATGGCAGCGCCCCAGCCCGAAGTGTGAAGTTTCGAAACTTCATGACTGCAAAAAAATGACTCAACCCATGTCGTGAGCATGAAATCACACAGTCACTTCTTGGGGCAGAGAAACATGGACAGACAGGTGCAAATGCAAATAACACACCCCCATTCTTGAACTTTCCAACGCAAGCAGGGTTTATGACATTTAACAGTCAACAAGCAAGGTTTGCCAACGCCTGATTGAGCCAAGTTGAGTGATGCCACGTTCTGTTTTTTGAGACGGCTTCTGGTTTTGCCTCAGCTCCCGGTGCCAAACACGAACACTCACACACACCTTGACCGACCAATTGGCCCCATGCTTGGCTACTGCTGCTTTCTCGATATGTTTTCTAATTCCAACTACAATGTTTTGGAAGATGAGTGCGCAACATGCACAAACAGACGTAACTGAAGATCTTGGCTCTAAGGCCAGTGCATGCATTGACAAACTTGCATGTTACAGCCTTCAAGGAAAAATCAGAAAGGACAACCACGGGCAGAGCTTCCATGGATAAGCAAATCGG